GGGAAACACAAATGCTAGTGCCAGAGGCCAGTTTCCCGAGACCAGGCGCTGCGGGGAAATCAGCATGCCCCTGGACTCAGCAGGCTCGCTCCAAAGCGCTGGAGCAGGCAGCAGGGGACGGCCTCGAAATTTCTAAGTAGCTTTTAATCCTCTGGAAACAGACTCCCCCTCCCACCCCACAAACACACCAGACAGCTGGGGCCATTCCCCGTTACACCCGCCCTCAGCCTTGTGCTGGGGATCAAAGGAGGGGGCTTCCTGCAACGTACACTGTGGCAGGCAGAATTCATTCTAGGCTGGCCCCGTGACTCCCACCCCTGGTGTAGACAACCTGTGTAGTCCCCTCCCTGAGTTCAGGTTACGAATGCGGTAACTCTGAGTTCATCAGACGGGAGGTGACCCTGGGTGGGCCTGACCTAGTCAGGTGGGTCCCTCAAAGAGGACGGACAGATCAAGTGAGAGAGTCCCCTGCTGGCCTACAAGGTACAAACACCGAGCCACAGAGCAGGCCATGTGGCAGGGGACAGAGGGTGACCTCCAGGAACTGAGAGCAGCCCCCGCTGCCGGCCAGCAAGAAGGCGAGACTCGCATTCCAGCCGCCTGCAAGGGAGTCCAGAGGCAGATTTCTTGCCCAGATGTGCCTTCAGATGAGACTGCAGCTCAGAGCAGAGACCCTGAGAAGGTCTGTCATGTAAGTATATCCCAAATATCACATGGGACATACTTACACTGATATCTACGTATAGAGGGAACTCAAATTTCACTGGGCAGCCTGTATTATTACTTGTTGACTTTGGCTACCCCACCTGTGCATCGTGGAGAGTGGCAGGCACTGGCAGCTGGCTGGACCCGAGTCATTCCCAGCCCCTGTTGCTGACTGTGCTGCCACAGGGGCTGGGACAGGCAGACATGCAGGGTCACGGGACACTGCGGGCTGTGAGGTCTGTATACACAGGATGGAGGAGAAAGCGTCTGCTTTGGCACTTTTTAAAAGGGAACTTGCTGTCCCCGCCCCCACCTTCACCCTGCCTGAACTTGGACGTGATTACTGGTGCTGGGCAGTCACTGGTGACCATAAGAAGGCCCAAAAAGATCTGACACAGCACCCCTGAGCCCCGAACTGCTGACCAACGATGCCCGCAGCGACCTTGTCTTTGAGAAGTGCACGGCTGCCTTTTTTAAACTAGGGTCTCACCTGGGTGATTCTGTCCCCCAGGGGACACTTGGCCATACCTGGGGACATCTGTGATTGTCACGACTGGGGGGTGCTCCTGGCATGGAGTGGGTGGAGGCCAGGGACGCTGCTCAGCACCTGCAGTGCCCAGGACAGCCCCGTCACAGAGGGTGATCAGACCCTGCATGTCAGCAGTGCCGAGGCGGGGAGTCTGGGTTAGTTATTGTGGAAAAAAATCAAGTTACATCCCCGCTCACAACAGACACCAGGATAAACTCCCGATGGGGCAGACGGTACAACCAGGTGACCTCAGCTTCTGGGACTCAGCTCCTCTCTCCCTCCCCATCGGTGTGTGGATTTAAGTGTGTGGAGCCTCCTGGGACCTCAGTAGGGCAGGTGATTATGGGCTGCAGAGTCTCTTGGGGTCCGTGGAATGCCCTAACCCAGGAGGTGTCTCCCTGGGAGATTCTGCCTCCAGGGGACACTGGGCCATGTCTGGGGACATTTGAGGTTGTCACAACTGGGGGTGCTCCTGGCACAGAGTGGGTGGAGGCCAGGGACGCTGCTCAGCACCTGCAGTGCCCAGGACGCCCCACCACAGAGAAGGATCCGGCCCAATGCTCACGGTGCCAAGAGGCAGGAACACGGTTTCAGCAACTGTTGGGCGTTAACATTACTCGCCGGTGAACGCGTCCCTAACCAGTTCCTAGCACTGACAGCTGTCCCAGTCTTGTTGTGGGACTGGAGGAGATAAGAGTCTGGGGAGCTTGGTGGCAGGCCTAGCACGTTGCTAGCCCTTAACAGACTCCCTGACTCCTGGGGTCAGAACCCCCTGGGGCCCTGGCTCTGAAGAGAACAGGTATAACCGTGCTGGTGCCGCGCTGCCCGTGGCCCCCGCCGCCCGGTGGCGCTCACGCGGCGTGGGTGCGCTTGTGGGTGTACAGCCTGGAGAAGAGGCGGGCCAGCTCCAGCAGCATGGAGACGCCGCTCCCGTTGGAGTCTGCGCCAAGTGACAGCCACTGCAGGATGGGAGACACAGGGCCGGCTGTCACGCCTGTGTGCTGCATCCCGCCCCCCCAAGACCTGCTGTCCCTGACGGTGGCTGTGGTCAACTCTGAACTCCCTCCCCCATCTCGCCTCCAGAACTCGTCCAGGGCATGGCTGGGATCGCTCCCCTCCTCTGCTCGAACCCCTGGTCTGCAGGGCTGGTCCCTCACTCACAGCGACTCTGCCCAGAGCCTGGAGCTGAGCACCCAGCAGGTGGATGCGGTCACCAAGGGCAGTGTCCCCCCAGTGCCAGCCTCTGCAAGGGGCCACCTGCAGGACCAGCTCCTCCACCCTCGCGCCCCTGGCTGTGGGGGCCCAGTCATCCCTCCAGCCTGACGCCTCAGTCCCCACCGTGTCTTAGAGTAACATTCTCAATGGGGTGATGATGATTCGTAGGGAGATAACTGGATCCTGCGATGGCTTGGGACTGTCGCAAGGTCACAGTGTACAAAGGGGTGTAACGGTGGCATCAAAATTCATGGGGGAGCCTCGTGCTTAGTAGAAGATGCCAGACACAAAAGGCCATACAGAGTGTCGCTCAATTTATAGGAAATGTCCAGAACAGGCCAATCCACAGAGGCAGAAAGTGGATTCGTGGTTGCCGGGGGCTGGGGAAAGGGGTGGGGAGTGACTTCTGATGGGCTACCTTTTGGATAATAGAATGTTCTGGAACTAGAGTGGGTGGTGGTTGTACAGCCTTGTGAATGTACTAAACAAATGTCACTGAAGTGTTCACTGTAAGCTTGTCCCTCTTACCCGTCCACGGCACGGTCAGGGGCTTGGTCTAGCTGACTTTTTCAAAGCAAGATTTTCAGGAGGACGGAAGCAGGACATGCTGATTTACACTCCGGCTCGAGCCCCGACCTCACTGTACCTGGCGCTCTGCAGAACAGAGGCGGCCCTGCGGGCCCCAAGCTGTGCATTCAGAACAGTGGCCACGAGGCCGGTGCTGCCTGCTGTGGGGAACCTGGACCTCGGGGCCCACCCTGTCTGGCAGGAGGGGCTCCTGGGCCGACACTGTCCATGCACACAGTGTGGCTTAAGCTCAACCCCGCCTTCTTTCAGGAGTCTGGAATCTCGCACCTGCCAGGCAGGGGGGTGTGTGACCCGCCCCCATAAGACTCCTGGGTCCTGGGTCTCTGCGGATAAACTTCCCATAAAGGGCCAGAGAGGGAGTATTTCCAGTGTGGGAGCCAGACCGTCTGTCACGACCACTCAGCACAGCTGCCATGCACAAGAGGTGCATGTACAGGTGAAGCCACGTGCAAGGAAACTTTATGTAGAGAAGCAGGTGGAGGCCACATGTGGCTGACTCCTGGCCTAGCCGAGTTGCTTTTCCACTTGGAAATCAAGCCCATACTTTGAAGGCTGAGCTCAAAGTCCAGAAGCCAGGAGAATGGTCATGGGGAGAAATGGCACAGTCACAAGGACAGGAGTTGAAGAGCCCCATGGGATCCAGGGCCCACACCCACGCCATGCTGGGTGACGCAGGCCAGGCCCTGGGTCTCATCACATATAAACTGCCACTGTCAACAGGACCTGCTGCACGGGCCCACACTACAGTCAAATGGGATAACTGATGGGACAGACGCTCCTTCAACACTCCATGGCCTCCTCTTCTCCTGTCTGGAGCACTGCCCTTGGGTGCCTGGGTGCAGAGATACCAGGCACGCCCTGCCCGAGGCCATTCGCAGAGCTGGTCCCTGCAGCACACAGCCACAGGCCGCAAGCTCGGCA